TTTTTTTTTTTTTTTTTTTTTTTTGTCTTTTGTCTTTTTTCCGTGTCCAGCAACGGATCGCAACCCTCAGTGTTGCCCCCGTACCGGACCGGGGACCGGCAACGGGATTGCAAGCCTCGGTGTTGCTCCCATGCCTCGCTCAGCCAGTGAGTGGGAGCCGGTCTGCACGTGGGATCCGAACCCTCGGACGGGAGCGCTGCCGCGCTTCCCAAGCGGCGCACTATCCAGTGCGCCACCGGGCCGGCCCTTCCCACAATCTTTTAATAATTTATTGTGATCTTTAGAAATATGAAAATGTTTCTAGCCTTGGTTAAATCTCAGTTATAAAGAGAAAAGATGGAATTTACTTTTTATCATGTACTATTTATTGAACAGCTACAGAACAAAGAAAGAAGAAAACACAGACAGCTTACCTCCTAGTTAAAGTCTTTCTTAGTCTGGAAATAAATGTGAAACAGTGAGGTAATCAGTACTTTCCCCTGACCCATACACTATTGTTCTTGAAAGACTGGAAATTATGAGGGCCATTTTGGGAACATTTAACCCTGCACTATATGCTTGATTGCTTTGACCCATTAATTTTCTGTGGCACAGGTCAGTGGCGAGCTCCAAAGTAGCTCCAAACTCACTGAGCTGAATTTCAGAGCAGGAAACATTAGAAATGAAAAGTATAAGATGATTGAATCAGGTGAATTAATATTCAGGGAGTAAAAACCAAGTGTGATTAACAACTTGGAAATGAGATGGAGGAACCTTTACTAATTGAAGTTGAAATTTTTGCAGGCTTTGTTTCAGGCTGGTGAACTTAAATGGGGGACAGACGAAGAAAAGTTTATCACCATCTTTGGAACACGAAGTGTGTCTCATTTGAGAAGGGGTAAGTGTAAAAAAATCTATATGGGATAGATCCTTTGGTAAATTTTGAATGTACATGAGCCAGTATGCCAGAATCCCTGCTGCACAGCAGTCACTGAATGAATGAATCAGTTTTTGTATTTTTTCCTTTTTGTGACCTGGAGAAACCTAATTCTCTTTGCCACTGTTGTAGCTTTTACCAAACCAGAGATCCTTAGTTTGTCCTTCACTATCAGGGTGGTGAGGAAAGTCAGGCCTCTAGATTGCTACTCTCATGGTCACAAATTGCTGAGTAGAGGAGTATTTCCTCTTGGACATTGGTACCCAAGACCTTCACTCTGTATATTCATCAGTACTTGTGTTATCAGTTGGGAATAAGCACAGTGGCAAGTGACAGAAAACCCTAATAGCAGCTTTTAAAATTGGGCTTTATTTCTGTAGGTAGGACTCCATGATTGATGTGGAAGAACTTGGGATCTTTCTGATTTTCCAGGTCCACTGTCCTTAGTGTTTTGGTTTTCTTTCTGATGTTCATTACCTCATCATCACAGATGGCTGCCATAGCTCCAAACATAACCATTTTCACAGCAGGAAGAAAAGAAGGGGGTAAACTGGTTATATCTGTCTATCACTTTATATAAGGAAAGAAAGATTTCTCTGAATTGCCTTCAGCAGATATACCTGTAGGTCTCATTGGTTATAATTAGCATGGGGGGGGGGGCTGGGAAATCAGTGAGCAAAGAATGCTTGTAATCCATTGCTTCAGGCTTGGCACACCAAGGCTCTGAACACAGAGTTTTATCAGCAAAAAAGAAGCAGGAGTAGTTCAGTAGGACAACACCTGATCAGAGTAAATGTCTTCTTTCTGAAAAGAGTGATCCACATGTGTTTAAGAAGTCATTTTCATTTTTTCTAGTGTTTGACAAATACATGACTATATCAGGATTTCAAATTGAGGAAACCATTGACCGGGAGACTTCTGGTAATTTGGAGCAGCTACTCCTTGCTGTTGGTAGGTAATTTTACAATGTGTGTAATATTTATGGTAATAAAAGCTGAAGTATTTTATTCAATTGAGACTATATCTGAAAATAACCCTTTTTTTAATGTAAAGAGCTTGACGTGTTATTTTGGTGAAACAAAATCCTAATTATTATTTTTTTTAAAGATGACAGGTAAGGGGATCTTAACCCTTGACTTGGTGTTGTCAGCACCACACTCTCCCAAGTGATCTAATCAGCCATCCTTATATAGGGATCCGAACCTGTGGCCTTGGTGTCATCAGCACCACACTCTCCCAAGTGATCTAATCAGCCATCCTTATATAGGGATCCGAACCTGTGGCCTTGGTGTCATCAGCACCACACTCTCCCAAGTGATCTAATCAGCCATCCTTATATAGGGATCCGAACCTGTGGCCTTGGTGTCATCAGCACCACACTCTCCCAAGTGAGCCACAGGCGAGCCCCGCCCCACTTTTTTTTCCTCTAAATTTCAATTCAGAAGTTTGAGTTGGAACTACATGATTACCTGGTTAGTTCATCTAATCCTATGAAAATGATAAAAATTGTATAAAAATCTGAAGCTGCATGAAAAATATTACTATTTCATTATGAACCTGAAATGATGTTTATAAGTCTGTGATGAACATCGCAGACTTATAAACATTATTTCTGATATCTGCAAAATTTTAGATATTTTTGAATGCTGCCCTCATAGCTTTGAGGCAGACTGAGAAATCATCATCTGGCTTAGAAAAAGAGTATCTTTGATGTAATGGAAGATTGTGATGATGGTTGTTTTCAGATTAAATATCTTGGACTTTTATTTTACCTAAATACTCAGAATATCTGGAAAAATTGGAGGACTGAGTTTATGCAGTTGATTGTAGTATTATATACATTCTTGAGATCCAGGGAGAATATAGTTTGTGAGTTCCCGGTGGTCCTAGTTTTCATGTGGGTCTGGAGAGAGCCTGTGTCTTCTCTTTGTTGCAAGTATTTGGCGTTGAACTCAACCTTTTGTGCTCTCTGTCTTCTGGAGGATAAGCTAAAGATGTGCATGAACCAGCACTAAAAGTAACCTTTCATTTGAGTACACAGTTAATTAACTTTTACTAGAAAACTTTTAGACAGCTCCTTCATAATTGGAATACATATAAAAATTGTGACATTTTTACTTACTGGTGTTGTTTTTCTTAAACATTGGAAATGGGAGAATTCAAAAAAACTCACAGTTCAAGGATTGTTATTTTGCTATATTAAGGAATTTTCATATGATAGGTTTTCTGAAGCTAAGCAGACTGAAGTCTGAGCAGCCTTAACCTACTTTAGACATGTACATGCACAGAGAAGACATACTTTTCTGATACCAGTTTATCTGAGTGTTTGTAATGAAATGGTAAGTCTCAGGCTACTCTATGTGAATCATGGTTATTAAATAGTATGGAGAGTGTACAGGAAGATAGTCCAAGATTTTTCAAAGATTAGATAAAGTAGTAATCTTGTATTATTTGCTTGAATGTCTCAGAATGAAAACTTCCATGATGTTTGTATAGTTTATTGGTGAAGAAGAAGGTTGTGGCATGATAACAACCCAGGGTGCCAAAACTACTACATCCAAAAAGTGCTCATATAACAAAGGAGCATAGAAAAACTTGCACCCTTTTCTGCATGCCTTTCTATTCAGAACTCAGAACTCGAAGGAAAGCCCAAGTCACTAAGAAAATACTTGGTGAGTGAGGAAATCAGATCAGCTTGCAAATAAGCAACCTATGTTGTAAAAGTAGAGTTGTAAGCAAGAGGCAACACTTGAGTTTTAATTACTTAATCCTTTTCATATCAGAATAGTATCTGACCGTTGTATTACTTATTTCCTTAGTGAAATCTATTCGAAGTATACCTGCCTACCTTGCAGAGACCCTCTACTATGCTATGAAGGTAAGTGGGTACCTTGACTCTTCTATCTAATACATTTATTTTTCTAATATCTTTCTCTATCTCCTATTATGTTTTAGATGATAGTCCTTGGGAATTTTTCTCTTCTTAAAATATGTAGCCCAGTTTTACTAAATCATTTTACTTTATTGAAGGACCCCAGCTCAGGGGTGTATAATGCTGTATTTGAAGTTTTTAAATAATGTGCCTCTCTTTCTTTTTTAAAGGGAGCTGGGACAGATGATCATACACTCATCAGAGTCATGGTGTCCAGGAGTGAGATTGATCTGTTTAACATTAGGAAGGAGTTCAGGAAGAATTTTGCCACCTCTCTTTATTCCATGATTAAGGTAGTAGAATCATTCTTTAAATTATGTTTAGAAATCTGAAGCAGACCAATATATAGCATGGATGGGAAAACCCAATTCTTGTGTTAAATTTAAAATTTTAGTGGTTTGATTAGAGCTGTGAGTTTTAAAGCTTGGCATAATGTTTCCTGAAGTAGAGATGATGACTCCCAAGTGAAAGTTTGGATATTGGTGTGGCTGAGGCTCTTGGCAAACTTTAGAAGCATTATGTAGTAGTGGTGACAGATGACTCAACAAATCCAATCCTTTGCCCATGATAAGAATGTGTTCTTTCTTTTCCAGCTGTCACTATTAGTTCCTCCTTTCCTTCCTATCAGTGTTTCCTTTCTTTATTGTCAGTTATCACCTTTTCTCTGGTTTTGGTTCATAGTTCTGGAAAGAACCAACCTAGGTATAACTATCACTTTCATTCTTTTAAAATCAAGGCTCTCTACAGCCTGTAATTAAATTTGGCTTAGGTTTTTTTGACCTTTTCTTTTTAGAATAAAGGTTAATGTGGGCCATGTGCAAGGCAGGATGTCAGTTGAGCAAAAGCTTTTAGTGTTGTGTGTGGGTGGTGTGGCTGGGCTGAAGAGCACTAGTGAGTTTACCCGTGCTCTTGTAGCTCGAGACAGTAATTTATCATGCCACGACAGCCAGGCAGCCCCAGTAGTGCGCCCTCTAGCTGGATATATACTATGTGACAGAAACTAGAAATTATATTTTAATGTAATTGTAAAATTTTCCCTGTTCTTTATGTTACTGGAGGGAAGAGGCATACTTCACTGTCTTTGAGAAAACTGTGCCTTTAAGGGGTAAAATTAGAAAGTTAAACATAAGTTACATTGGTAAGAAACTCCCTTTATACCATTCCTGATGTGAAAGTCACACATAGAAAGATTACCCACTTGGGAGACAAGTCATAGGAATAAAATTTGTTGCCAGATTTTTCTTAGTTTTTAAAAAATTTTCCGTGTCTTCTGTGAGTCATGGAAGTTAATGGAGTCAATCTGGGTTTCAGAGTGATACATCTGGGGACTATAAGAAAGCCCTCCTGCTGCTCTGTGGAGGAGACGACGATTAATGGCCATCTGGAGAGAGACCCCTGCTCCGTGCCTGCCACAGCTGCCACTACCTTCCTTCAGCACATCTAGCTGCACTTTTTATATGCCAGTGCTCGACATATTGCCTTATTCACATGAGCATGCTAGTGACCAAACATATGTGTCATAGAAGAAAATAGCGGTGCTTCTTTCTGATCTTCCTCTCTGACTGTTGTAGCACTGAAGTGTACTTATGTTACTAAGTCTAGTGGCTGGGTCATTTATATTTTCCTTTAAGAGGTCAGATTGCTTGTAGCCTTTTTTAAAAACTTCATTTATATTAAACGGATAACCATATTACCTTAATAGAACCTTTGCCTTGAATTTTTGAACTCCTGGAAGTGTTGTTAATCAAGTTTTCTCCTAAATTAAACCTGCAAAATTACAATGGTTGTATTCAAATGAGTAATGAGAAATAAACATTTCCTTCCCCCTGAATTGTATGTGTTTAAAAAGTTTATTTATTTAACAATGACATCCTTTTTCAAGCCAGTCAGTTGACAGTGATGTTATTACTGGGTGATAAGAAATTCAGTACCACAAACTGTGAATTTCCTTGTAGTATGGAATGAGGGAGAGGTTGAAAGGGTGTCTGATATTTGCAGCATGTTTATTTGGGCATCAGTTAAGGCAGTGCATGTGATGCTAGCTTCTTAGTAGAAAAACTAATTTTAAAACTTAACCTAAAAATTCACAGTACAGTCATGCCTCGTTATTCATGGAGGTCAACTGTACTCTGAATTTTTAGGTTACCTCCCATGTACCAAAATCTGCTGATGATCAAGTCCCTGATAAAGAATGGTGTAGTATTTGCATATAACCTACGCATATCCTCCCATGTACTTTAAATCATCTCTAGATTACTTATAATACCAAATACAATGTAAATACAATACAATGTAAATGCTATATAAATAGTTGTATTGTTTCAGGAATGATGACAAGAGAAGTGTGTACATGTTCAGTACAGTTTTTTCTCCTAAATATTATTGATCAGCAGTTGGTTGAATCCATGGATACAGAACCTGTGGATAGAGAGGGCTGACTGTACTACCTTTTTCTTTTCTATTATTAACTTGTTTTTCATATTTACCATCTGCCACCTTCTTTTAGATTAAAAAGCAGGCAAAATTTTTTAGAAAGGAGCAGTTTCTTTATCTTTTAATATTTACCTTTTGGTTTTTTGCTTTCAAACTGCTCTTCAGTTGGTGTCATTTTTTTCTTTTGTACTTACACCCTTATAGATGAATTTTATAAAGGGAAGTGATTGCCATTAATAAAAAGACATTTTTAATAAAATGGGCTACTATCCCTTTGGAAACTTTTAAATAGTGATAACGTTCTCTTTACAACCTTCAGTGCTCATCAGAATAACCAGGGGCACCTTAAAAATTGTGTGTGTGTACATATGATGTTAGATTTTTTTTCCCAAAAGTTCCAGGGCTCCACTGGCAATTTTGATGCAGCGCCAAGTTGAGAATTGGTTACCTGTACTTATCACATAAAAGAGGATGTATTTCAAAGAGTTCTGTTTTGTTTTGCTTTTTAATAGCTCACTGGCTTTAAAGATAAGCATTGGATTATTTGTCATGCTTCAAAAGAAATGAACTAATGAGCTTTAACATTCGCTATATTTAACCAGTTCGAGACCCTTTGCCCAGCTCTTCCTGCAATGTGATATCAGGTAAGTTTTTTCAGAACTAAACAAGCTTATTCTAAATTTCGTGTAAAAAAAAGTCTCATTAGTAAAACTTTTCTAGAGAGCAGTGAGGGAGCACAATCGTTACACACATTGGAATAGACTAGAAAAACTGAGTAGATTAAAACAGTGGAGTACTGAATAGATAGACAAAAGATGGACAAAATAGCAAGTCTAGATATGGAATAAAATACATTTGGAAATTTACTATATGATAAAGATACACATCAAATTTAATGTGTAAAGAAATTTTAAATAAATGGTGTAAAGACAATTAGGCAGCTATCTAGAAAAAGATAAGTTAGATCCATACTTTACGTGATGTATCAGTTAAATTTCAGAATGGATCAAAGACTTAAAAATTAAATTATAAACAGAAAGAAACATGGCTGTTTATAGCTGTGCCCACTATGTTCTCTGGGAAGCAGATGCTGAGATGGAGTTAGGAAGGCAGAAAGTTTATTGAACAGAAAGGCAGGAAGCAGATTGGCAGGGGTGTCATCAAACTGTATTCCTGACTGCATCTGTCACTGCCAGTGTAAAGGGGAGCTCTGGGGCAGAGATTCCACAGAAGAGGAGCACTGTGTTAGATGGGAGTGCCATGGCCCTTGTGCCACAACCTTGCTCAGTTATTGGCTTGGTGTCTCCTGGGGAAGAGCTTGGCTCAGCTCAAATGCTGAGGCAGATGCTGAATGTAACAGCTAGAGGCTGTCAGCGGCCCACTTTCCTCAAAAAGCTGTTGATAATGGCTTTGGGAAATTGTCACTGTTATACCTCAGTGGTGCCAGTGTGAATTGCTCCATTCTCTTTAGAGGGTGTCTGGCATCATAGACCACACTTACAAATACGAGGGGATTTTCAAAAGTTCATGGAAAAATGGGATTAAAACATACATATAAACTGTATTTCTCAACATAAACTTCATCAAGTTCAAGACACTTTTGTAAGTGATGATACCAGCCATTTAGTCCATACCTAAAGAAACAGGGTCCTGGGCATGTAACCATATGAATGTAGTCTCTTTTACATTAAGTGAAGAAAAATGGGTGCCTTTTAAAGATTTTTTTAAAGATTAGGAAGCAAAAAGAAGTCAGAAGGAGCCGAATCAGGACTGTAAGGTGGATTCCTAATGATTTTCTATTGCTCTTGTTTGATGAGAGGACTGAGCAGGAGCATTGTGGTGGTGGAGAAGGACTCTCTGGTGAAGCTTTCCCAGGTGTTTTTCTGCTAAAGCTTTGGCTATCTTTCTCAAAACACTCTCATCATAAGCAGATGTTATTGTTCTTTGCTCTCCAGAAAGTCAACAAGCAAAATGCCTTAAGCATCCCAAAGAACTATTGCCAGACCTTTGCTCTTGACCAGTTCACTTTTGCTTTGACTGGACCACTTTCACCTCTTGGTAGCCATGGCTTTGATTGTGCTTTGTCTTTAGGATCATACTGGTAAAGCCATGTTTTATCTCCTATTAAAATTCTTCAAAGAAATGCTTCAGGGCCTTTCTTAAAAACTTAATTTATTTGTTAATATTATTATCCTTTACACTCTAAGATGCTGTTGCAGGGGAGTTGGGAGGAAGGGAGACGGGGAGAGGGAAGGAAACAGGGTGGGAGAAGGAGAAAGGAGGTGGGCACGGCCAAGGCCTGTGGCATTCCCCCAACTCCTGCATGGGAGACCAGGGGGCCTGCAGTGGCAGCTCTGTTGCTGCTGGGCTGGATGCAGATGTTGGGGCAGAGGGCATGGCTGAGGCCCAAGGCCCCCCACCACCCCAGATTGTGAGTCTGGGATGCTCTGGTGACAGCCTGGTGGTAGTTGCTGGGCTCAATGTGGTCATTGAGGGTGTGGCTGAGGCCCATGGTCCTCCCTGCTCCCTGGCTCGGGAGCCCAGGGGGCTTCTGGTCCTAGGTTTTATAGGTGTTCTTTGCTGGTGTTAGACCTTTACTAGTTAATATCAAACTTTTGTCTGTGGGTATTTTTTTTCTTTCAGTTCTGTGTTGGATTATTCGCTGTTCCCACCACTTAAACTCTGCACTGGAACTAATTTGTTGTCCTTTGCTTACTTCTAAAATGGGGGAACTTCCTGTGGGGACCAGCACTTGAGCCCTGTGGTTGAGATAAATTGCTGCTTTGCTGCTGATTCCCTGGGGAAGGCTTTTTGTGCAGCTCAGGTTTTAATGGTTGACCTTGTATTTCTGGGTCTTGTGAGGTCCAGTACCACTTAGGTTGTGTGGAAACTCTGGTCTGGGCCTGAGACTTTTCAGCAAACTGCACCCCATGCAGATCTGTATTCCTGACCTGTCTCCAGTGAGTGGTCCTGTGCTGACTGGGGGCCAGATCAGCTGTCCATGCCGTGCCCTAGTGTTCCCCTGGTGGCCCATCTCCCCCACCTCCTGCACTCCAAACACTTCCCATGGAATGGGACATGTGCCGGTCCCTTGCGATGACTCGCCGGCCTCTGAGTGGCTACTTTTTTCAGTTGTTTGGCTCCTTGCTCCTATGCGAGTCTATGAGAACCCTGTTAGTGGTCTTGCTCGCCTGGGGGCCACCAAGACTCTCTTCTCCCCTGCCACCTCCAAGCAGCTTCATATGAAGGGCACAGCTGTGGCTTCTGCCAGCTTTTGCTCTGTGCACTCACCAGCTCCAGCCTTAAAATGGCTGGGACTCAAAATAGGGGGAGCGATCCTTTCTTTCTCTCATCGTGGCTTCTCCTGCCTTCATGAACTCCATAGGTCTCTCCTCCTCTTCCCCTGGGCTCTAGCGGCCTCACCTTGGCTGTTGTTGCTTTTTAATAGTTATAAATTGGTTGATTTGAGGGAGATAGTGATGCTGGGGACCGTCTATTCTGCCATCTTGATTGGGAGTCCTGCTTCAGGGTCTTGTTCTCACTTGTTTAAAATTTCCACTGCAAGCTCTGCTCTTGTCTGCAGCTATCTGGGTGCAACAGTTTTGGTACCCATCAAGCAGAAAGTTTGCTGAACTGTAATTTTTCCATCAGAATTATATAAGGTGTATCAATTGAGATGTCTGTGCTGTTGACTACTGTTTCTGCTGTTAATTGTTGGTCCTCTTCAATTAGGGCATTAACAAGATTACTTAGATTACTTTTTTCACTGCAAATTGATGTGGATGGTCTGCCACTGTTGGTTTCACCTTGAACATTGTCTTGTCCCTTCTTTTTTTTTTTTTGCTGCTGGCCAGCAAGGGGATCCAAACCCTTGACCTTGGTGCTTGTCCCTTCTTAAAACGAGTCATCCATTTGCTGATTTTTGTTTGAGTGTTTGAGTGTTTGTGATTTTGTTTTTTGGTTTTGGTGGCTGGCCAGTACAGGCCCTTGGTATTATCAGGACCATGCTCTAATGCTGATTTCTCTGGGGCATTGCCCCATAAACTTTTCACAAAGCGTCATGCATAAAGAATGATTTCGCCATTGTTTCACCCAAGTTTCATCATAAATTTGATGTTTGTTCTTCAATTTTAGGAGACTTTGTGTTGCTCTGATATGGGCTCTTTTCACAGCGATGTCTTATCTTTATTAGTGCATTAAACTAGATCCTATTCAGAAATGTTATAGCAAGTTAGTATGAGTTTATTTTGGTGCAAAAAATTTTGAAATCCATGCATAGTTTTTTCATAATATACATTTTCCATGAACCTTTTGGAGACCTCTCATACATATACTCTGATTCAACAGATTTATATCTAGGAATTGTCTTAGAGATACTTATCATATATGCAAAATAAC